CGAGGGGCGAGGGCGAGGAGTGCGGCGGCCGAAAAGATTGCGGTAACACGATTCGCGTCTAAATTAGGCTTTTAGGACGCCGTGAAGCACTTCACGTGCACTACATTTCTTTAAAAATGAATGATTTGGTGTTTTTGATGACTACAGATAAGATACAAACGGCAATTGCGTAACTCCGACGTCCTTTTTAGAAAAATGTCTACTCGTTAAAAAAGAAAAAAAATCGCCCTTTATAAGCACGATTGTAAGGGAGTTCTTTACGTCCGGCGACATCATTACGGCATGGAAGGAGGCGTTGACCACAGATCATACGCTGTGTATAATCTGTAATCACCGTTGTTTTTTTTTGTTTTTTTGTTTTTTCGTACGAGAATGAGCAAACATTTGATACCAAAAAAAATCGATTTAGCATTCACGAAATTCGGCTTGTTTACTTGCTTCAAATCGACATTTGATTTGATTACACTTATTTTGTACTGGTACACGCCTACTTTATTCCCTAATGAGTTATAAGTTATAATTACATTGTTTTTTTTGTCGTGCGAGGTGATCACAATTTAATATTAACAATCGGAGCTATGCGATTACGCGGAGGAGGCGCATTTGAAAATATTCAAAATTGTTCGGAATACACAAACAACTTCAAGCGTCTTGCTGTTTGGGTCCTTTCCTACACGCAGGACCAATAATAAAGCCAAAACTTTATAGAGGAGACTATCACTATCAACTCAACGCGCAAACACGATGTGAAGCGTGTCTTCGTACGTTGGAAAGGAGATACCGGCGAGCAAACCGTAGCGTCGAATGTCCATGCATCAAAATGTCCGTGCACCGAAATATCCGCGCATCGAAAAGTCCCACAGCAAAACGTCTTTGCAGCAAAAAGTCCGTACACTGAAATGTCTGTGCACCAAAAAGTCCGCACCAAAATGCCCTACAGCAAAACGCTGTACACCGAATAGTGCTAGACCCACTACGGATGGGATCCTCCGTCACCTCTGCCGGTTTACGAACCATAATGATTCAGAACCACTGGTCTATGGAGCGCCATCCCTGATATACAGAAAACGCCGCTCGTACTTCCCGTTGTCGAAAGATGCCAAATCAGATATTTATATTAAAATTGATACTTCAATGACTACTTCCTTGAGAAGAACAAGGTATTTGTGCTCTCACAACAGCAAGAACAGTCCTCCAAACCAATGCTAAAAAAGAGCCAATGCAACTCGTTGGGAAGAGCAAGTGCCAAGCTCGCTCAAAACAGCTACTCGGTTCGTTCAGCTCCTTGTCGCAGGTGTGCCGGCTGGCTTCTGGATAATCTTTTCAAATCCTCGAAGCTTTCATTTCCTCCACCCCAAACCTGTCAAAAAAAAAACAAAAAAAAAAAAACAACAGCCGCCAAAAAAAAAAAAAAAATCGGAAAACGGCGAGGAGGAAACGAGATGCGATTTCCTCCTTTCACAGTGGCGAGAAGGAAAGTGAGGGTCGGGTTCCTTCTCTCTGCTTGCGGGCCGGCCTTTAAGGTATACCAAACATTTTGTTTCAATCAGCCAATCATCGCAACCCTTTTGCAAGAAGCAGACGAACTTGCGCGCCGCACGGAGGCGTCACGCGTGCCTGGAATGGTTAGTGAGATTGGTCTATAGACGACCGCAAGCACAGGTGACTGGCCGCCGCCATGTCTCTGCCTCGTACGAGCTTGTCCGTGCGAGTACGAGCTTGCAAAAAGCTACATCCACGCGCACTCTTCACGCGCTTGCACTCACAGGGCTTCAGCCAAGCCGCCATGCTTGCGATTGTCTATTGAATTAGGTTCTATCTATGAGACCCGATAGGTGATACTGAAGATCGACAAAAAGCAGGAACGACAACCCTGCGATTTTACTGCAGACTTTCTCTAGAGCACTGCGATACACTTGGCGGAGAAGTAAGCTGCACTGCATTTACAACAGAGGCTGGGCTTGTCATGAAAGGAGGCTGTTCATAAATCGCAGCATTGGACTCGCTTGCGTTGGCCAGATGGGGCCTCGGTAGTGTGTTCATGTGCTTGACTTCGAACAAAACTTGTTGGATGCGTAGCTTGCTGAGGTCCTTTTTGTAAGAGCACATCTGCCTCAGCTCCGACAACATGTGCTCGCAGAAGAGGACTTCGTCGCCCTCGCGTTCCAAAGCCACAGGTGCGTTCCGAAATGCGAGTGGTGACGGGATTGTGACGCTGGAATCTGCCATGGTCTGCCGACAAGGAGAATGAAATGGCTGGATGAAGTCAGATACGGGGTTGTGGTTGCTTCAGGTCACATTAGTTGTCAAAATTGCACAAAAATATATTTTTTTTTAAATTTTGGAATAATTGTAATTATTGATTTTCGATCAGTCCTGTTTGTTCTTATCAGAGAATGTTGAGACATCATAAAACTTGCCACGTCCAGACGCAATTATGCCCCAGTCCCACTAGAGCGACAAACAGAAACAAATGACAGCGACAGGCCTCGAACCGATGCAGCATGCCCGCGATTACATTTGGCAGGCGTTTGCACGAGTGATTGGAAGCCTGCCAAAGATACCCTCGCGTGCATGATGCTCCTGTTTGAGCATAGCTTCCTTTATCCTACAAAGGTTGTCAAAACGTGAAAGGCTCTGGTTTGAGACTTGTCGCTGTCGTTTGTTCCTGTTTGTCGCTTTAGTGGGACTCGGGCATTAGGTTACAAACGACTGAATAGGAGTTTAGAGAGATCAGGACTACAGCAATCAAGACCACCAAAGTGATAACAATACCTCATAATTGACTGATAGTCGCGGTCTCTTCAGCAGCGAGGCTGGCGGGGGAATTAGGCAGGGTCTTTCTTGATCGGTGAGTGTTAGCATTCGTGTAGAGTGCCTGCTAGGAGACATCAATGGCCTTTGACTCGCTTCTGAGGAAGTATTGGTCGTCGGGGTCGTCGGCAGAATCATTGTTTCAGTCATCTCGGTTACTGGAAGTACTCCATCTGGGCACTCAAGCTTGACCTGTTGAAATAAAAATAACATTTTACTTCATTTACATCAGGCACAGAAATATTGTTTTGTAGTTGTTAAACATCATCTTAAACAGAGAAGATTTGCTAACGATCCCAGATTCCAAAAGCGCACTGATTAGAATGCCAATGCTTGTTGTGGAGATCGATGAGACTTTATATTCTATTAGTCAGAGACAGGGATGGGCAGTATTTCAAATAAAAGTATTTGAAATACGTGTTTCAAATATTTTGTGTATTTTGCATTTGTATTTAATTACAAATTGGGTAAGGTAATTGACGTGTGTATTTAAATACTAAAACGTGGATATTTCAAATACAATTGTGATTAAATACAATTTTGTGGGCGAAAATACATCCCTCAGATTTATTGTCACTGTCCAGAGCAGGAAGAAAACTACGTTCTGCACCGACTGCAGTGTCTCTCAATCAAGCACAAGCGTTTAGTGACTTTGTGATTACGGTGCTAGTCCAGGGCAAGAATAGTGACGAAATCGACGTTCACAGGCAGACTGGCTAAATAAGTGCCTATGACAACTTGTGATGCTTTCCAGCCTGATTTCCCTCCATATTTTTGCCCGGAACATTCTAAATGCGCGGGTCGTCCAGATTTTTGTAACTGGTGCGAGTTGCAACAATAAAAAATTCTCTAGCTAGTGCTGCGCGTCTTGGTCGTCTCGGTTCTTTGTTGGTCTATACCAAAATGTAACCGACAAAGAAAGCTGCTTGAAGCTCTGTACTTTTTTTACCTATTACGTCCAAGCTGATTACATTTTTTGTGATTATATTTCTATTACGTTGCTAGAGCCTCGCACACTAACTTCCGAGTGTGCAATGCAAAATTAAAATGAGATACCCAGAAACCCGTTGCAGGTGCCCTGAAGTGGCTGACGCAAATTTTGAGGAATGTATTTGGAGAAATATTTGGAGGGAGACCAAGTACATTTGGTTGTATTTGTATCTTGTATTTAAATACTTTTTTGGAAATGTAATTAGATTTGTAATTAAATACATTTTTGACGAAGTATTTTGTATTTGTATTTCGATACATATTTGCATGTATTTTGCCCATTCCAGGTCAGAGACTAATAGAATATAGAGGCACATTAATTTGGAATTCAATACCCATCGATATGAAACAAAACAACTTCTTGCCGTGTTAAAAAATAATAATTGATATTTGATTTAGAATAAGATTTGCGCGAACTACGTACTTCAACACTTTATTATGCTAGTAATATTTTGTTCGTTTGTTGTTTTATCTGCTTGCCTGTCGCAATGTGAAATGCATTTTTATTTAGACCTCAGACTAGTTTCAAGGCTATAGGTCCAATAAATGTTTGTGTTTTTGTAAAAACAACATTTGAAAATTAAAGTGAATTGAAAAAGAATTGAATATCTCACAGTAGATCTTCTAATATTTTTAAGATAACTTTCATGCGATAACTTTAAGATAAATAAACTATCGGGGACAACCGAAGCGGCAATATGAAATGATTTGCTTAGAGTATGAGAGAAACAAAGAAGATGACATAACTTCTCACTAAAACTAGCAGAACCCGGCACAGGCGTAAGATCAAAACGCGTGCGGTTTCTAAATAAGCCGGCATCCCTTGGGGTGTATTGGCGACTAGAATGCAGGCTCTATATTCTGAAGACCTGGGCAGTTGAGCTCGGTGGAACAACTTTATTATGCGCCTACATAGAGAGCAAGGATTGCCATCTTCACTTCTCACACATAAATGCCAGCGCAAATATTTTCTTACAGCTGCCCTGGATGATAACGCAGGCGTGCTTATAGTCCCTCTCAGCTTAAGAAAATCAGGCTGTGGCTTATAATGTTAAAGCTCCGTGATTTGTTCTTTGGTGTTCTTACCTGCTAATGCCGCAACCTCATTGACTGCTGAGTGATTATCTGGTTCACCACGCACTCTGCTTCTTAAACTGTCAGTGACTATATAGGTCGTTTTAAATCTTTTCAATCGTTTAAAAAAGCGAGACCAATTCAACTTTACTTGCCGGGTAGGCTGCACTGTTCGCTGACAGCAGACTGGAGTCCCGAGTGATGGCGGCCCTCAGGAAATCCCAGGAGCCAAAATGTTCCCAACGTGACACGTAGCCTAGAGTTTTTGTCTTTCTGGACGTGGCAACCTTCTTCAACTCCTTGACGAAGTAGTCTCGGAGAGTCTTGATCTTGTCCTTTACGGCAACCACTACAGAAGCAAAAAGGGATGCAGTGTTATGGACAACGAAGACTCTGCCTAATAACCAACTATCCCCGTGTAACACTGAGAGCTCGGTATTTCAGCCATAGGATAAATGTAAGGAGCAAGAGCATATATTTTTTTGTCGATGACTGTTCGGGAGGACATATTGGTATTGGCTAGAAGAGGATACGCTCTCCCGACACACATCCACATACATGTTTGTTTGTTTTTTTGCGTATATGCCCTAAGCAGAGCTGACAAGAACCTGTTGGCGCCCTAGCTGATGGTCACAGTTCCGAAGATGCAAATGTTAGACTCATCGGTCATCGTAGTTGCGACGTTGAACGAGCCGATTCCGCTCTTTCGTTTATACGTCGTGCAGTCAGGACTTCGATGCCTTCCATTCGCTCCCTGTACTGCGATGCGTACAAACTCTCTAGAGTGAACTATACTCTGCAGGCATTGTGGGAGTAGTAAGGTTAATTAAGCTACGCGGGAAAACACCATCAGATATTTCCAATCCATTGGTCGAATGATTCATCCCTTTTTAAATTGACATCAAGCTATGTCGATTTACTTAAACTAATCTACACATATGTAAGAAGTCCAGCTCCGACATAGCTATGTACTGGCAAAATATGATATGATATATGAAACGAATGGTGCGGTGTGTGTATATATAGGGTCTACGCCGGTACGGAAGGTGTATAACCATCTAAAACGCGTCAACTGTCCAGCCACTCCCTGACTCGCTGTATACAGACACACCTGTTGACCTGAAGCGATGAGCTTACTGGGTGCCCCGAGGTGGCCCCCGCACAAGATGCTAGGGCTCAAACAGCGAGCGGTTTATACAGTCGTGGATTTGTGAATGAGTCGCCTTGGAATACCTACCAGAAGCCACTTCAACAAACTCGGCATGGCAGTTGAGGTACTCACTGCTCCGTTTACCACCCGAGGTCAAATGTAATGATACACAAAGCGTTTCAATTGCCAACTGAGCCCGGCTATAGAAAGTACGGCACCTGCTTTGATCGAACAAAGAACCTCCACTTCAGTCGTTAAATACTATAAGTAGGGTTCCGCGTATTCGAGGTTTATTTTTCGTCAAATTTAGAGGGTGGTTTTTGAAGTTTGTTTTGCCAAACGTTCGGAGTTTTTCAGAGTCTATTATTGTTTGATTTTAAATTTTCCAAAATTCGGAGTTTAATTTCGCCGTGTTTTCAATTAAAAAAATCAAATCAAATCTGGATGTAAACGTATGCTAGATTAAAAATGAAAAAGGTTTACAAATCTCTGTAATGCAAAATTAGAGCGCAGCTTTCGAGGAGGAGGAGGAGAGGAGGGTATGACCCTCCTCCTCCTCCGTACCCTCCCCTCCTCTCCTTCTACCGGCCTCCTCTGCTCCTCCTCCTCGTCCGCTCCCCTCCCCCTACTCCTCCCCTCCTCCTCCTTTCTTCCTCCGTACCCTCCCCTCCTCCTCCTACGTACCCTCCCCCTTCTTGTCCTGCATACCCTCCCATCCTCCTCCTCCGAAGCCTCCCCTCCTCCCCTCCATGCCCTCCCTTTTTCCCAAAGCTTCCCTGCTAAATTTAGCTGGAAAATTGACATCACGTGGCTTCAACACCAATTCAATTTCCCGGTAAATTTAGCGGGGAAAATGACGTCGCATGACCTCGTGCCACATCACCCATGAACAAATTCAGTTTTTCCGCTAGATCTAGCGGGGAAATTGACGTCACGTGACCTCAACACCAATTCAATTTCCCGCTAAATTTAGCGGGGTAACTGAATTGGTGTTAAATTCATGGGACGTCAGTTCTACCGCGAAATTTAGCGTGGTGACGCCGACGGCGACGGCGACGCCGCTATACGCGCAAACAGGGGCCTAAGAGCTGCGCTCTAAAAAATAATAAAATGCGCATTGGTATCAATCATTATTTCTGCTAGATTTGTTCCATGACAAAGGTTGCACACAAGTGTTGCTCCGGTCAATGAATTCAAAGTCAATGAATTCCTGGAGGTAATTGCTGGCAAGCTCGTCATCTCCTCCTATTCCATCAACCTACCCAGCGGCCGCGAGAGGTGGACTGGTGAAGGATGTAATAGAGAAGTTTCAACTGCCCCTCTTCCCTATTTTAATTTATATGGAATCTCTATTCCATAGCTTTCCCCCGCTGTTACCAAAACACAACCTCTCCTTCCTCTAAAGCACAAATTGTATGACCCAAACTGGAAACAAAACTAGTTGCTTTTGTTGTGACCCGAAAGTACAATTACCTGTTATAATGAAAAACCTTGAGGAAACAATCGGTAAGACCCCTTTTTGACAGTGGCCCGAGGTTCGAAAGGTAACTGTGGTGGCATTTTCCCAGGACCATTGACCCTGGGCGCTGATCAAACTTATTCGTAAAAAAAGAAACAGAAAATGCGTTGTTTTATTTTATTTCATCTTTCTTTGTCCGGGGGGAAAGGGCGGGGGGGGGGGGGGGGGGGGGGGGGGGGGGGGCATTGGTGTATTAAAATTTAGAATTTATTGGAATTTACCAAAATTTTAACCGCGGGTGTTTTTCCGAGTTTTTCGTGTTTAGCCGAAAACAGGGAATTCTAACTATAATCAAGAAATAAACAAACTCAGCTTCGTCTCTAGAAATATCCGAGCTAGACTACGTTGGTTCGGTATGTAAACTCTATATGACATTTGACCAGATTTCGGCAAACTTTGAACTGCAAGGCGGGTAACGAGCTGACAAAGCTGCCTAAAGAGCAACCATCCTAGGCTACCCCATCCCCTAGCTGAGTAGCGACTTGCCCCGTAGAAGAGGTCCACACATCTTCAGGCTATCCCCCCTTCTTTTTAACAACACCCAAACAAACACACAAAACAAAATGTGCTCCTAAAAAAAATTCCCATTCACAAAAGGCGACTGCACAACTTTCATTGTGGTATTGTGAAAGGTCCAGGTAACGTCGCCGGTCCTCAAACAACTTCGGACTACCACTACAATATTCAGAAAGAACCTTGATTACTGTCTGAAATCACGACCTCAAAGGGATTTTCCACTACTCTCTATACAGGTTGAGTTTGAACTCCGCAGGTACAAAGAGTGACCAATTGTGGGCAACGTACGACCATAGACTGCGTGGTCACGGACTGCGCAGTGAAGCAAAAACGGTTCCACGCATCTAACTCGCGTGTTTAGCGTGCACTAATTTATTGATGGCCAATTATTTGGCCTTCCAAAGATACTCGGATCATGACCCGGCAAAGAACAATAATTGGCCCTTAAAGTGGCATTGAGATGTCTCGAAAATACGGATTTCTTGACGCCTCTCAAACATCATGTTTGCTTACACGTACACGCGCCGTATGCTTCAATCTCTATTTGTTCATCTTTATTTATTTTCGTCTGATCACCTTTATTTTTGCTCTTCCTTCTTTTATAAAAGTAGCTAAAACTAAGTGCTCTGCGCAATAAACATTTTTTTAAAGCACGAAACACATTATAACGGAAGCCACTACTCCAAGACATTAAGCTCGAAACACATGTACGACGAAACCGTCCGATCCGACGTGCGGACTGCCGGAATGACCTTGGGGGGAGAGGGTTTTCGCAGCATCGGAGAGCGTTGAAAACCCTCGCCTCCGACCGTCGTATTGCGCGGTCGGACGTCGGATCGGACGGTTTCGTCGTACATGTGTTTCGCGCTTTAGTCCTTCCGTGTGTCCGCGCATCCCATGGCACGTGACGTAAATGACATCATGGTGCCACATGGCACTGAGTCACATTACGTCACGTTACGTTATGCGTTGTGACGTTAGTGACATGACGTAGCGGTTACGTGGTGCCATGACTTGATACTATAACCTTAGGTTACGTTTCATGTCCTCTGACGCATTTAAACGATCGCCCTTCAAATACTGCATCCCATAAGTAATACGAATTATTAGATAAAGGGGCTGTCAGTTTTTCTCTCCCTTTTTTATGGCATAAATTTGACAAATAATCTGAGAACGTTCTGAACCGCAGCGTGCTCAAATATGCAATTTATACGCGCGGGTAGTTACCCGCGGCTATGTAGTCAAAGGTGAGGGGGCGCGTGCCTGAGCGCCGATGAAAGCCTGTGCACGGGCACTCCTCCTTCCATTTGAAAGGCGCCAGAAAATTGTCCGCGCGAGTATAGTCACTACCGCATTTATGTAGTAGGTGGTTCCCACTGGACGACGCAGATGATCTCTTCGTCCATAGCACTGGCACAAAAAGAGTTCTCTTTGGAGGCTCGATAAGGAACGACAGTCTGGAAGGTGTGAAGTGTACGTTGCGGAAGAGTTCTGCTAGATCGCCGTCCGCACGCACCCAACAGTAGGGCTACAGTGTTGTAGGGCTATGGCTGTGTCCCAAATCTTACCCAAATGGATCAGAGCTACTCAGGTGGGTCGTGTCACGTGACAACACAGATTGAAAAACGCTGGACGGGGGTAAGTTTTAGAACGCCAAGGTACATAACCCTTACCCTGGAGTAAGATCGAGTAAATAGAGTGCAGTTTCACATGCATTTCATGACGAAAACGAGCGAATCCGCTTCGCGGTTGCGATTCAAGCGCCAGTGTGAAATAGTTATGGCAACGAGTGAATCCACCTATGACTGAGGCTGAGGGTATTGTTGGCCATGTCTAAGCGCACTGCAGCTGGGAGCACGCCGACCGAAAGGCTCGCGCTGCAGAACTGCAGAATTGATCTTCAGCCTGCTCGCCCGCCCTTGCCTGATCCGATCTGGATGAGCATCGAACAGGCGTAGGATCGTGAAACCACTGCTGCACGATGCACGTTAAAGAACCATAAATCACCAGTTGTGCTGCAATAACCAAATGTCTTATTTACAACAAAGACGCTAGATCTCGTTAGGAAACTTCTCGCTGACTAAATTTGCAGCAAAACGAATTTCACTCTGATTTCTACCTGGCCTATTTCTCTGGTTCGAGTCATGTTAAAGAGAACGCCGATACGTTCAGGCTACTTATAGACCATTTCAATAATCGCCTACTGCGCTCTGCCATCTTCGTCCGCTGCGCTCTGGGACGTATTCTGAGCATGCGAATGTAGCTCTCTGCATGCAGAACGTGTGCCGCGCATGCGTCCACAACGCAGTGCCTCGGCATTTTTCGCCCGGACGACAAGCGCTGAAAAAGTACATAGGAGGACGCCGACTAGGCGTCCAAAAATGCTTGGACGCCCTACGTGGTTCACGCGAGGGAACACCACGTTTAATGCTGCTCAAGTGGAAGGATCAACAGCAGGCCTACCGTCAAACTCGTTGTCCATGGCGTCCGCGATGGCCGCCATGGCTTGATCTCTCCTGTCCCTCTTGTAGTAGTCCGTATGCCGGCTGTCCCAGAGCAGGCTATTGTCCCTGTACAGGTGAATGAGCTGGGCCTCTTTCTCGCTCGTCCAGTAGTTGAGCCGCCTCGTCTGCGCCGTAGAGGGCTCCATGTAGAGCCTCGGAACGCGGTGCTCCTTCCGAAGTAAATCTGCCCGCAGGATGGCTGGAGCGTTCCTCGGGCTTGCTGTCTGCACGCGGGCTTCGCTGACGTCCTTTCGTCGCGTGCTGGCATTGCGCACGTGACGTCGGCATGCGATCGCTTGGCTTGTTCGCGTCTGTTGAAAAAAGAACGAAGAAGAAAGCAGCAGCTTCCGCAGCGTTGGCTGCGTGAATAGTTGGAAATGAAGGACCTGCCTGGGTGCCTGGGATGTAATATGCCGCTAACGCAGACTACTGGAATGGATGCAAGCACAAGCTACTTCTGGGAAGCAGGCCTTCCGATTTCTGAGCAAACCAAACTATTGTGCTTTCGTTTATTGCACCTTTGCATTTTTTTTTCTTGCAACATTTGACTTATTTCATCGTCGGGTTGTCACCGGTAGAAACGTTGAAGGGCATGCGCGTTGACGTCAAGCGGCTCGTGCTTGTAGCCTTGTGCAGGCTGCAGACAGGTACATATTACTAATCTACAGTAAATAAATCCAGTTACTCGCTACTGACTCGAACAGTAGCTAAAAGTACATTACTCGTTACTGCGATTCAAAACGAATACGTTACATCAGCTTGAAAGTAACGCGCTTTCTCTATACTTTGAATGTGTCATTTCGAAAAAGCAGTAGACACTTCCAATATTTGTCATCGTTCGCAATTTTTCACTTTTTATGACGTTTATTCAGGGATAGCTGTGACTATAACGACGTGATTTGTGCAAATATTTTATGGTACATGTAGCGTTTTTACGTCGTGCAAATTACCGGCGCGAGCTGGGGTGAAAACTAGGTTGGTTATACTCGTGTTGTACGCGTTCCCCTCCAGAAGTGACTAAATACCCCTACTCGTTAATCAAAAAAGAAGTAACGGAAATACCTTAGACATAAAAACCGATATAAGTACGTAGGCACAAGTAACGCCTTACGTACAAGTCTATAGCCATGCGTATATTCGTTTTCTTGAACGCCGTGGGACGCTGCAGGTGGTCCCGCGGTGGTCCCGTGAAAGTTATATGGATATTCTCATTGAAAGATGAGGAGGCACCATAATAGAAAACTCGAGACTGAGAAAAGATAAAATAACGGAGAAACATACACACCGCCTCAGGCAAGCAAGAGCTTGTTACCTGAGTGCCCACTCCCGTGCGTGCCCCAATGGCGCCACTGTTCAGTCACCGCCGTGAGGCCGCCACCATGGTTCGCGACGGAAAATAATGGAAACGCTTTCCGAATTCATTCGGAAAGCGTTTATTGGCCACAAAGCCGTTAGTTGCGTTTGTCTCGCAATCAACACGAAATGCGCCAAAGCAAGAGACTCCTGCCTAGTGCGTCCCTTGGAAGCAAATGGCGGAGCAGCCCTGAAATAGCGGCCTTTCGAAGCGAGTGGCGGCGGAGCACACGCTCGAGACACGCGCTTCGTGCGTCCGCACAACAATGGTTGTCGATGCTTGGAAGAAACGCTAGGCGTGAATTTTATCGAGGGGCTTTAGCGCAACGCGCTTCCACTTCAAGGGGCTGCTGCCCCGTGGCCAAAAAGATACCACAAGTGTGGGGGACTTCTGGACAAAGACCCGCCATGTATACAGCCCCATACCAATCACTTCCATGTATACATAGCTTGCATGTGACGTCGTTCTTGGCCATGCCGGTATTTTATGCGCCGCGAGCGTTCGGTTCGCCGTGTTCGATTCATACTGAAGAAGTTGTAGTTCGAAGAAACCAGTAATAGAAATAACTGACAGTCACAGCAATGGCGGAAATAACAAGCTATGTATACTATTACAGTGGCCTAGAATGAGGTAGTGGGCTAACCATGCCCGCTTGCTGAGGCGATTCATGTCTAAATTGAAAGATTGCGCTGCGGTCGACTCCTCCTCAGAGCCGTTTATACTGGCAACCACAGCAGCGTAGTCTGACAACTGGGGGATGACTACTTCACTCCGTCATTTTGTGGATCTGACTCATAAGAACTTAGGCTATTTTTTGGAAATAAAAAAAGACAAAGATGCAACGCCATTTTGTGTTATCGCGAAATCTGTTGGTTCTATACTCTCTTTCACCTTGTGTTGTACCGCAGGAAAGGCTATACAAACGCGAGCTCCTTGCTCAGGGCACATCTCGGCGGCACAAGCTCTCGCGCACCAAGGGCAGCTGCCAACGCTATGAGCTCGCGCTTCTAGCCTTCGCTGCGGTACAACGTAAGGTGAAACGGAGTATAGCTGGCAACAAGCTCAGCCCATTGGCCAAACTCTCTCAGTATAAACCAAGTTGGTATAAACTGTCACTGGATCCTAGGAAAGTAGCGCCATTGCCTTCCCTACCTGCTAGCCGGACACAAACGGATACTAACATACAGACGACCCAAACCTCGCAAGGAGATTGGCTAATTGGCCTAATTAGAAAATTTATTTGCAACACTGTGGACAGGATTTTGTAAGAGACGCGCAGAGGTTAAGAACACTGTGTACACATATATGCGCGAACCAGTGTCTGTACAGTTGGCGGGTCTTTGCCGCGGAGCCACACGCACAAGTTCGAAGGCGCACACCCCGAGGTGTCCCCGTCCGCGCGATCACTCACGCGGCCGAAGCGTCATCCCAGAGCCACACACCCGCGCCCGCGCCCCCAACGGCACCGCTCTGAACTCAGGGACCTAGAGGTTGTCCAGGTACCTGAAGCGGAGTTCAATCCGCGAGTCGCGAACGCTCAGGTACCGGCAGGACCAGCGCCTGAGGAACTCTTGTTCTCCGAGGAAAAACAGTTGCTCCTCGAGGTGTCCCACGAGCTTTCGCCGGAGCCGCCACAGGAGGGGCCAAAGAGCACGCGATCGACGCGCCTGTCTCACCGCGCAGCACCGGTTCCTCCACAGCACGTACTCGGCCGCGGCGAGGAGGAGACGGATGAAGACGCCCGGAGGGCATCTCCCGCGCAGCAGGTAAAGTCCTACGCCCAAACCGTGGAAGCTGGTGCGGATGACGCGCCAGAACGTCCGCGCCACAACGCACTCCTTCACCGCGTGCACATTCGTTTCGCGATTCCCACAGTTAGGGCACTCGTCCGTGCGCGACACGCCCCAGCGGAGCAAGCGGTCTCCGCTGGGGAGGACGCCCCAACCGTGCTGCCATTCGAAGTCCCGTAGATGCCCCGGGAGATACGAAGAAGTGAGGCGGGATCAGGAGAAAGAGTCTCCGAGCTCCACCTGCGTTGCCGAAATCTGCGGCTCCAGGAGGACCTCTGTGAGACGAGCCGACCGTGTCTCCACTACGTCCAGCTGGGGTGCCCGCTCTTTGAGACGTTTGAAGAGCTGTATTGCCCTTCGGTAGTCAGACGGCGGGGTTTCGGCACAGGGGCCGGGTGAGCTCGGCGACTCGACTCTGCAGTTCTCGGCGGGAGTGCCCCACGAAGTAGAGCGCGAGGGATCGGGCTGGGCCGTGCTCATCGCGCAATATCTTCAGCATGGTCTTGAGTTGGAGTACTGCGGGTGCGATGTCGACACAGGGAAAGCCCCACCCTCCACGCTCGCGCGGGAGGCAGACAACCGGCCGAGTGACCAGCTCCGTCTTCTCTGACCAGAAGAAGCTGTAGAGCGCGCCTTTCACCGGTCGGATGAAACGTGAGGTCGGGAGCGCCGTTTGCGCCAGATACCAGAGGCGTCCACAGAAGACAGAGTAGGCTAGGTACCTGCGCTCGGCCAGGGGAGGGGCGTAGGTGCGAGCAGAGTCCACTCTCCCCGATGTCGCGCGCCAGGCGCGTCCACATGTCCGCCGAGACTCCTGACGAGCGGTAGGTGACACCAAGGATCGTGACCGAAGTTTTTGCCGGGATCGGTGAAGAGAGGTCAGGCGGTCGGTTAACCCACAGCACCGCGCTCTTCTGCTCATTCAACCTCGCTCTGGAGAGAGACCCGTAGGTCTCGAAGATCCGGAGTGCCGCTCCGAGGTCGTCGGTGTCCCGCAGGTACAGTGTAATGTCGTCGGCGAATGCCGACACCTTCACCTCGCCGTTTCCGGGCAGGGAGAGTCCGCGGACCTGAGGGGTCCTTTCGACGTTGGCTAGGAAGGGCTCCAGGATAAGGACGAAGAGCAGCGGCGAGAGCGGGCAACCCTGGCGGACCCCCCGGGTGACGGGGAAGCTGGCCGTCACACCGCCGTTTAGATAGAGGTCGCTCTTCATGTCACTGTAGAGCGTCTCGAAGAGTCGAACCCCTTCAGGGGGAATACCGAAAGCGGTGAGCACGGCCAGGAGGAACGGGTGCTCCACCCGGTCGAAAGCCTTCGCTTGGTCGAGGGAGGCGATCAGGCCTCTGGCTTGGCGAGCGTTCGTGTACTGCACCACGTCCTTCGTCAGGGATGTCAGGGTCTGAATGCTGCGGCCGACGATCGAGCACGTCTGGTGGGGTGTCACCACGTCCGGGAGCATGCCGTGGAGGCGCTGCGTGATGATCGACGCTAGCAGCTTGTAGCTGGCGTTGAGTAGCGCGATGGGACGCCACGCGCCCGGGTCGTTGGGGTCTCCTCCCTCCTTAGGCAGAAGAATGATTCTGCCTCGGCGGAACGACTCTGGAAGGCGGTGCTCCGTGAAAAATTCCCGGAGCACGGCACAGATATAGTTGCCCAGCACGTCCCAGAAGGTACGGTAGAATTCGGCGGGAAACCCATCTGGGCCCGGCGCGGACCCAGTTTTCATTCTTGACAGGGCAAGGAGCACCTCTTGGGGGTTGGGGGCTCGTGCAGGTGTGCGGCTAGGTCTTCGGGAACTTGCGGGAGATCGCGTAGGAAGGGGTGCGCCACGAGGGTCGCACGGTCCACCGCCGATTCGGTGGTTGCCAGGGCCCGGAAGTGGGCGCTGAAACCGGAGACCGACGGTTGGCCTGGTGTTGCTGGCGCGCCTGGAGTTGTCGGCACTGAAGGGACGCGTCGCTCCCGCACTTCGGTGCGGTGGGCGTAGCGCAGCACCTCGGG